TTAAAAAACTTATAAAAACATACAGTTAAAATATTTTAATATTTTAAAATAAATTCTTCTTTCGCAAATATACTTTCTTTTTAAATCAAATGCTTTTAAGTTCTGCGAATACCCTCATAAACGATTTTTTATTTCTGTTTTCGTTTTTCCTTAATCATACAGTTGTCCAGTCTTTTCTAGGTGTGAATACATAATTATGAAATAGTACTTTATTTTATAATTTAATACTATTTAAATTATATAACACTTTATACAGAACCAGATATTCCGCTTGACAGTCCCACATGGATTTTTGTCAGACGAGCAAAGTGTTGTGCTAATGTGCTTTGCAAATTTGGGCCCGTTTATCTTGATAGGCCACTCAATAGCTTTTCCCTACTCGACCCAATCCAAATATTTAGAGCCCGTTTAACCAAATGGTAGTTTCATCCACCCGAAGTCCCTCACAATTTAATAAAAGTAAATATTATAATTATAATATGATATAATATTATAAATTTATAACAAAAGATGTTATTATATAATTAAAATTTTTATTTAAAAATTTATTTATAATATATTATATTTATTTAATATCACATTATAATTTTAAATTTATAATTTTATATAAAATTATACGTTCATAATAACATTATCAATTGCGCTTGGAATTTGAAGCTTATGGTTTCACTGCAAACCTTCCACATCATATCTACCGAGTTGCGCTTGGAATTGATCCTTCTTTTTTCAGGTAATTAGCAAGCCAGTTGACTGTTGCCATTGGATTCTACCATTGCCTGTAGCAATTGTCTCCTGAAATAACCTTTCATACATAGTAGAGCTCAAATCCTTGGTGCTCTTTATATTATATTATATTATTTTATTTTATTTTATTTTATAATAAAAAATTAATTATTTAATATCATAAAAATTTAAAATTAAACTCTTTAATTAATTTCAAATTGAAAATTTAAATTAATAAAATCTTACTCAGTTAAAATTTTTATTTATAAATCCTCATTGCTTACCCGTAGACGTGGGCGACTTTTGGCAATTGATCATTGTTGACGATACTGTGTTGACTTTAATTTTTTGGCAATAATACAATGCCGATATAAATTTTATTTACCTGTCCTGCCGTCCGCCATATAACCTTTAATATAAAGCAAAATTTTCAAACATAAGCTCAAAAATTTCAATGTCTAATGAAATTAAATAATTTCAAATCAAATATACAAATTCAAAAATCAAAAAAATCAAAAGAAAAATTTCACTACAATAAAAATGAAAACTTAAAAAAAGATAAATATATTTTGACAAAGCCACAACCCTTTGTGGGTTCATGTAGTGGAGGAAAGAGTTCAGGCGCCACCAGTAACGTTGTACAAGTACCCCCTCACCCACCATTCCTTATGTTCTGAAGAAAAAAACACCTAACTTTTGTTTGATAACCCAATTTCTTCTGCTTTGTTTGATTTGTCTGGTGGTAATAATTAATAGAATAACAATATCATTTGAAATCAACGTATAAAGTATAAACTAATACTTTCAAATACCCTAATCATTTAAAAAAAAAAAAAAAACACTATAAACTCATAAAATAAATCAAACCAAACAAATCCTTACTTTTAAGCAATTGAACAGCCGGCGTTATCAAGAGTTTGAACTTTGAACGTAACAACTGAGAAAAATGTGCAAATAAAAATATAAATTTTATCATTTTTTTAATACATAGATATAAACTTTGCTTATTTTTAAATAAAATAATAAACCATCAATTTTTTTTAAATAAATCAGGTTTCATATAGAAGCTTCTTGGTGAAGCAAATGTGTCTAAAACAATCTGTTCATTATAAAACAAAGTCCCATTCTACAAATCACCAACTGAAATTTCACTTTTCTAGTTGATGCTTTCACATTCAGATGAGCTCGAAACAAGAGAACACTACTTCACAATATTTCTTCATAAATTCATAATTAATTACATCACCATTCAGACTACAAGCTTGCTTATTTAACTAGTGGAATCTGGCAATCTGCTTCGGCAATCCTAACCTAAGCAAAAAAACAAAGTAACAAACCATTGGCAATTCAAATATGATTCCAAATTCTTGCTGTATCAGCAATTCAACAAAAATTACCCTGTTTTGTTCGTAGATAAAACACAGTCCTCTACTAATATTCACTTATTGACCCTAATACCAGAAAAGAAAATATGTTTCACATTATCAGAAACAAAGTAAGAAATACAATCCAGAATGATAAGGCGATATAAAGTTTCAAACTTGAATCAACTAGAATTGTACAACTCACAATGAACAGAACTCTGAATTTGAACGTCAGCTCAAAAGTGAAGTAAGCAACTCCTCATTTTCACATGATTACCTTTATACTGTCCTATATTCTAGAACTGGTATTTCATTAAATTAACATCTCAAGATCTTCAACCATGATCGACAACACGAACATTGTCGTACCAGGCCAAAACCAAAACCAAAAACCTATTAAGACCTTAGAATAATTCAACTAAATTACACAGCCCCAAAATAGTGAAATCAAGAATGAATGGAATCAGGACTAACCCATTTCCAGTAATGCTTCCTCACAGACACCGCCTTCTCCAGAGCTCTGCTCCCATTGGCATCCTCATACTCTTGCTCTTCTTCAGAGCAAAACTCTCCCTCTGGCAAACCTTCCACCCACGCATCCAGCGAATGCAACACGTAACAAGCCGGCAGCCCAGGATA